CCCGCAGGGCCGGGAGCGCGGCAGGGGCCGGTGCCAGCAGCTCTCTGCCAGGGACTTGCGGCGGCCGAAGCTCCTGGGACACCCCACCCTGGTCTCCACCCCCCTTCACCCTCCGGCGCTAAATACCTCGTTGCTACAAACAGCCAGTGCCCGCCGATGCGCGCGCCGATTTCCTCCCCCTCCCCCCTCTTTAAATTATTATTTTATTTATTTTTTTTTTAATAACCACGAAGCTGTTTTTCGGCGTAAAGATGGTTGATTGCGTCGTGGGTGCTGCTCGGTAACCAGCCACCTTTCGCCGCTGCCCCGGCGGCCCCGAGCCGACTTTAGAAAGAGACACACACAGAGGGAGGGGGGAAAAAAGGAAAAAAAAAAAAAGAGAAAGAAAATAGGGGAAACAAAGCAAAAGTATCCGTAATAGTCTCACCCCGGCCCTTGGCTGAGGGTCAGAGCTCCCTGCAAATTGCACGGGGGTGTCTAGGAGGGAGAATTGAGAGGAGAAGGATTAAAGGGGTGTCTTTTTAAAGATTTCAGAAAAGAAATCCTAACCTATAAAATAATAAAATATAATATCTTTAAAAAATCGGGGCGGGAGGGGGGAGGGAGCCTTTGTTATCAGAGGGGTAAATGAATATGTATTAGGTTGGACTGTGGCTGAGGGAGCAGGAGCAGCTCCCCTGCACAGGGAAAGCTCCCACACTGAGACACTGCCTTGGGTCGCACTCTTCAGTAACGTCTGAAATGCAACGTTTCTTTAAAAAGAAATAAAAACAAGGGCTGAGAAAGGATTAAAAAGCCTGAAGGATTTTGTAACAGTTATTGCTTATAATTCTTAAGCACCAGGGGAAATGAGAATTAATAGTTACCTTAAAAATCGAGTTCTGTATTTAGTAACTAAGTAAATTAATCTGAGAAAAAAAAAATCTACTTTGTTAAGTGAAATATCGGTCAGTATGATTTCATCTGTTTGTAATGCCTGGGTGCTTTTGAATTTAATTTATTCAGTTTATGAAAAAAAGGTGGTTTTAATCACTGGCAGCAGCACAGATTTAAAATGAGGTCTGAGGAACAAACACGGGCTTTCTTAAGCATTTTCAAAAATGGTTTAAAACAATTTAGGTCTTGAAGGTCATTCTTGTTCCTGTTTTTGTCTGTGAAGTTCAGATAGCCTCAGATGCAGCCTCCAGTGACGGCTGTGGAATCCCCACTAAGTTTTTTTATTGGATAGATGTGGAAAAGGGAGAGAATAGGTTTGTGCCCCTTGAAATTTAGTTGACAGTTCAACTACCTGTGACTTGAGATCTTGCAAAAAACCTCCATTACTTTTTCAGAATGGCACTGACTTCACAATGTTCAGAATAACAATAAAAAAATAATACAGATCTATTTTTATTACTAAAATAATTCTATATATGTAGGCAGAGAGCTTTTGCTCAAAAATATGTTCTTCTGATACCATAGTGTTCAAATTAAGGCTATTTCTTTGAAGTTCACTAATGCATCTTGGAGAAAAGGAATACGTCTTGTCTAGATGCAAAGTTGCTTTTTTACAGCTTTGCTGTAGTTCTCTTTTCCTATGTTATTTTATTAATGAGATTTTTATGTGGATAATATCTCAAGACTTCCTTTGCTTCTGCTGTTTGTTCGTCACTTGAAGTCGTAATAATTTGTTTCTAAAACCACAGCCGGCTGCTATAAAGGCAGAGGGAGGAAGACCACGATTTATGTGGTGAATGAGAAACAAGAACAGAAGAATGTAATAAATGTTTGTTACTTAAAACTTCAGATATTGTTATGAAAAAGGTAGCATAAAAATTAAATAGGCAGTATATCAGCAGGATCTTTCCGAAACAGAGTTCTGTTATTTTTTTTCATGAGTACTTATGTCTCTTAAAAATAGCACTAAATATCTGATAAACTTACAAGAGTAATGAAATTCAAACTTAAAAACTGCAAATTGATCTTTAAATGACAATACTGGCGCCTCATAAGAGTGCTCTGGTTCACAGTTACCTTTTCTCTCTGCCTTGAGACATCTGAAAGTGTTATAGGTTTGGTGAAGTACATTTGTATTTTACTGTTCCTTTCAACAATGTTAGTTGCTCTTTTTCTCCTCTGTCTGCATGAGTCTTCCATACAGTCACAGGAGAGAAAAGAAATAGTTGTAAGGGTAAGAAAAGGTGATTAATTAAATTACTTTTGGGACTATGGGTTGTATGTAGTGCATGAAACTACTTAAAGCTACTTTTTAGCTTCTTTGGCACTGGGATATTTAATACAGGTTTGGTCTGAGTGAAGAGTTTTACTTTATAAAAATCAGAATGGAGTAGGAGAAAGATGTGAAATGGAGAAAGAGGGAGCAGACTCAGAAAACTTAGCTTTCCATTGTGTAAACAAAATAAGGTTTTTTAATCTGCCACATAACAAACAAACAGTAATTCTTCTAGTCACTAGTACAAAAACTATATACAAGTGGGGATTGAAAATTTTTATGTACAATTCAAACCAAATGCTTTATTCGTCTTTAATCTTTGTGTTTTGGGGTAGCACTTCTAGAACAAATATTGCTGTACATGTACAAATATGAATGCTTCTGAGCCAGTTTTAGAGGCATATCATCCAGCTGGAGATGAAAGGCACAAACTTTAGCAATCCCTATTTTTTTCCTGATACTTTCTACTATTCATAAATGTTGGTTCTGACTGTATATCATCTATATAGTAGATATTTTAAATCAAGTTTTATATTAGTAGTGAAAATACTAGCATTAGGAGTTCTTGACAATCACAAGCAGAATATGTTGTTTCTGACAACTTCAAATGCATGTGCTCAAGACAGGGAAGGATGAGTGAATTTATTTTTTATTTTTCCTTTAGGCAAAGATCCCTTTCATGACCAAGGAAGGAGGCAACAACATTTTTACAGTCTTGTGAAGCGCCTGTTACTAGAAATGATTTTCACTTTGTTCCTGAAAAGTGTGCCAAGTTTACTGGTGAGCTAGTATGCTGATTTATTTATATAATATGATGTGAGCAGAGGGGGAGTAATGTGTTTTTGACTCAGCTGATTTTGCTAGATTTGTTCCCATTCACTGAAAGGATTTACTGATTTATTAGGGTAGATTTACCTAGCTACCTGGAAGAATACAAGGGGCCTTTCCTTGCTCTCTTCATCCTTAACTTCTCAAAGATGCAGCACAGAACATACATTATCCATGGCATACCATTTGGTTAGTTAAAATCACCTTCAGTTAAAAGGACAGCTATTGCTTATCACATACATCTACTAATTGACCATGTTTTAAACTGAACTGGTTTAAATAACAATGTTTATTTTACCTGAACTGGTCTAAATAACAATGTACAGCTGCCACGGTTTCTCCCTGTCCTGGGATTGCAGTCTGGTTCTTGAGCAGAGAAATATGAATATTGAGCCTTTAGCTCCAGGAAATTGGAATGAGTTAATTGTAACTCCACAGCATGAACAAGGTCTGCAATGTGAACTCTTAGAGGATTAGGAGAAAGGTTTGATTATTTCACAGAGCTCCTAAAACATACTAGATAAAACATAGAGAAAACAAATATTTTAGTGTATGGGATCACTCTGCTCTTTCCAGCTGCCTGTGGAACAGAATGTTTTGATGAAATAGATTAAGATTTATACCAAACAGTTTTACTCTTTACCAGCTGCCACTTTATTTCCTGCCATTTTTATCTATTCACACGTGAATGCTTTGCCTTTCTTGATAATATATACTTATAAAGGACAATAACAAAAGAATTCAGTGAATAATTTCTATGAATCGAGAGGTGCTTTAAAAGGAAACCAGCACTTGTAATTTAAAAGTAAACATCAAAAGGTGGCACCAAGAGAGTAATACTTTGAAATAACATCCAGCTTCTTTTCTTTCAGAGAGAGTTGATAAACAGAAGGATCATTCCCTTTGGTTCAATGTAGACAATCACTGACAAGCACAAAACTGACCACAAAGAGGTGGTATTTAAGTCCATCTTTCATCTCATCCTGTGCTATCTAATAACTAAAAGTTAAGGCCTAAACAACATTGAGTAAGAGGTCACCTAGACACTTAGGATCTTCAATGAAAATAATTAAATGTAGTGTTTGCTTAATTTCTCCAATTTACTATTTACAAATTAAGGTAAAACAAAAATAACATAAAAATACTTTGGATAGGCATGTAAAGGAAAAATAGAACTTGGTGACGCAGGGTACTAAGTATAAAAGAAAAGATCATTTACACAGAAGTTTTTTACTTTGTTATGTTAGGCTTCTTTATAAATAGCAGAATTCTGGTCTATCACTATATTATTTTGTGAATTATTGACTTTCACTCTGACTGAAACTAGCTAAATATTGCTGCAAGTTACTGGAGAATGAGTTGTAAATATACGTGTTTTGATAGCATTTTCTTCCCATTCATGCTTCCTTCTCATGAACGTGGTAGAAAAAAAGGACTGGTAGAAAGGACCATTTTTAATACAGTCTTTTCAAACAACTACTAGGAGAATATTTGATATGGATTTTAATACTCAGATTATAGAATAAAATGCTGTGACTGTAATATTTATTTACCTTTTTTGGCTGAGAAAGAACATATAGGTGTATATGTGCACTATACCTATGCACACGCATGTTCAGAACCACGCTCCTTGAAGTTTTGGAATTTTTAGAGAAACATACACGCTTGGGTTTTTTTTTCTTTTGGAAAAATCCTAGAGATAGCACAGCTGAAAGCACTGTGAAATCTTGCATTCTCCTCCTAGATGCTGCCAGAAAAAACAAGCCTTTTATGCTTGAGGAGGCTGGAGATGTTTTTCTGCCAGTTGCAAGTCCTACGCCTCAAAGTAAGAGAGAGCAAGTAATGTCTGTGAAAAAAGTTTTCCTGACAGACAGCATGAAGGCAGCTCTCCTATGCTTTGCCAATCCATAAGTAATAAAGTTCTTTTGTTGGCAGAGAGTCAGTTTTGAAGCTAACAAGGAAAACTAAAACAGGTGATGCAGTGGCTATCTCTAAAAGGGAGATTTTTTGAGTGAAAAGTAAAGTGAAGCAGAAACTGGGTTATGTGTCTCTGAATAAATGGCCTCCCATCAGAAAAAGATTAATTTTAAATCACTGTTCTAGTTCTTATATTAAGGATAGTTTAATTCACCCAGAGCTATTTGGCCTTGAGGATGAATTCCTACAATTAAGTGTTTATGATTGAAAGTGCTGCCATGGAGAGCAGACAGATGAATATCATTTTAGGAGTACTGTGAATCATTAAATGAGTTGTAGAACCTTTTTCTGGGCATGACCCACTTTTAAATTTCAGGCTAAAGCTATAATAGACTTCAGCATAAGGCCTGACATGTTGCTGTACTTAGAAGTTTGAATAACAGGATAATCAATGTTTACTAATGTATTTATATAACTTTAAACTTCTTAAAGTTAATTGAAAATACTTTGCCTGTTGTATGTGAATCTGCTGCTGGGCTTAAATACATTTTTCAGATTAGTGCATTAAGTGTTAGTGTCAGATAATGAACTTAACCTGCCTCTGATGTGTTGGCTTCTTTTGGCTCAAGATAGGCATGGCTGCTTTCCCTGGTTCAATATAAAGAGAGGCTGAATATGGAATGTCATACAAACCTGGACAGATGACAAGAAAACAGCGCTAGCTGCCAGCTACCTTCTCTCTGTTTGTCAGGATTAGTGCTTGCTTTTTGTCAGGATGGCTCAATGCATCATCCTGTACCTGACTGGCATACTGGGAGGACGTAAATTGAAATACTGGCCAGACAGGCTGGCAGTTTTTAGGCTCGGGAGAGGAAGCAGACATAGTGCTACTCTTTCTGGTTAAGGAAAGAGCATTGGTCCACAGCTCGCCTTTTCTTGGCACAGCCTGCCCATTCCCAGAATCGCTTGCTCCTCCTGTAAGCAGTTTTTCCAGGTATGTGGAAATTAAAGCACAAACAGCAGTGGATAAAATTGGACAGGCTGCTTGAAGCAGTATCCCCCCTGTACTGTACTCAAAACCATCCTGTGGCTCTGACAGAGCTCTGCCTGCAGCAGAGAAGAGAAATTACCTGGTGCATCTCCTCCTCAACAACTTCAGCTTTCAGACTGGTGTTTTAAGAACAGCCCCAGTTTCAGAGTGGCTCAAAACTGCCATTGATCAGGAGCAGCCTTGTGAGCAGTTTGGTCATGAGGTGGCAATTCTGTCCTGAGGTGGGGGGAACGGCCTGTGGGGACAGTAATGACTCCTTCAGCCATCTGATTTTAATCCCTTACCATATGTGACTTGAAGTCCTTAGATGCCCTCTACTGCCATATACCAGAATTAACAGATGGCTCTGTGTAACCAAATTCTGATTTGCTTAAGTTTGTTGTTATCTCTCTGTCTTTATAAATGAAGAGAGGAGGGAAAATAATATCCATAATTATTACAAAATATGCAAAGCGTTTTCTAAAGTGTGAGTTTGGGCTAGACGTATTTTCTGACTTTCAGTGCGATTGCCCTATATTTCAAAATTTAACACTAATTTTAGTAGTCTCTTCGGAGCTCATTTCTCTGATAAATTATCCCTCTGTGAATAAATGTGATCTGGAAAGACGCCTGAGGCACAGCAGAATTTTTTCCCCAGCATTTCATGCCACACGATGCTAGACAGAAGGAAGCTGCAAAACCTGCTGCTGTAGATCAGCCTTTGTTCTGGTGAGGAAGGAAAGGATGCATTTAGCCATCAGACGTATCTTTCACGTAAGACAGAACAGCAGGTAAGAGTGTACCTAAAATGGAACAAGAATGAAATTTCAGTCCTTCCTTTGCCTGTGTTATGACAGATTTTGTGTGCTGGCAGGCACAAAGCAATCCTAAGTCAAACAGAACTAATCTTGGAGGAAATCACTCTCCAGGCTCTTAAGAATCAAGTGGCTCTGTGGTGCTTGAGCTTTAGCTGCGTTGTGTATGTCAACTCCTTTTCCTTCTAGAAGGAAAAGCCAGCAAAACAATCCCACCTTTAATTCCCTGTCCCGGGTTCCTATTGCTGATTTGACTGAGTGGGTTTGGTCTAAATTAGCAGCTATGTATTGTGCACCTTTTTAAACATGCCTTACCTTTCCTGAGGAGAATATTATTTCTTTCTACTCTGAGTGTTTGCTGGTGATGTTACAAATAGATGCAGGTGTGGCAGAAGGGAGCATGAGCTTTCCAGTGGAACATGTGACAGCAGGGACCTGTTCCAGGTAAATGGAGGACACACAGAGGACCTCTGCCAGGCCAGTAAAAAACTTGAGCTCATGAAGGATACAACTTTCACACTGTGCTTTCTTTTCCCTCCAGTACAGTCCTCTACTTTCAGGTACACTGGTCTAGAATATGCTGCTTACATTTTTCAGGAATTTTTATAATTTTTCCAGAACATAATCTCAAACTAACATAACTCCATAACAAAACCTTATTATGAATGGGGGCTTTGTTCTTGGAGACTATTTTTGAAAATGCCAGGTTATCAGTTAGCCTTTGCATAAAAGGCTGAAACATTAATTTGTTCATATGCCTTTGTTTCAGCATATTCATTCCTTCAATTCCTCTCCCCACTTTCTCCAAGAAATACATAGAGCTCTTCAAGTCCTCCTAGCAGGTGGGCTGTGTAATGTTATTATATAGGTGACAAACCTAGAAAGCTTTACCAATTTATACCACCCAACAATGTAGTTCATTGCATGTATTTTTATTAGATCCTCACTTTCCCAATTTCTTTAAGGGCATTTCAATTTTTCAGTGGCTTTTTTTCTTCCCGTATCCATCAGGGAGTGAAATCATGTGTCCACAGAATGTAAATAACAGCTGTCCCTACTCAATTTGCATTTATATGCTTAGCACTTAAAAATAGCTCATTTCTAGAGGTTTTCACAATCTATTCAAAATTTCTTCTTAGTCAGAGGTACTAGTGAGATGTTAATGAAATCCCTTTGGACTGGCTGATCAAAAAGGCGCAGCAACAACAATGAAATTCCTCAAATAACTGATCAGTTATGCTCCTGAGTTACATTTCAGCAATCAACTGAAGTGTGTCTTTTCAATCTCCTTGGGCATTTTAAGATCAGATCCTTGGGCTGCTCTAATTGCTCTAAGGGGGCTAAATACACCAGGTAAGGAGATTAATGGTTAAAAAAACCTCTGCTGAACTGATAGTGTATTCCTAGCAAAATTAATTTATCGTACAAGAACAGCTAAACAGGGGGGAAAAACCCAAGAAACAACACCTGGCAAGGTGTTTTCAAGGGAACAGCTTATTTTCCAGTGTCACAGATCTTTGAATAAACAAACCCCTTAGGCCCTGAGAATAACTGAAAAACAGCTCTTTGGTTTTTATACTACTATTTTCTTCTGTTGACATTTCATTAATCCTAAAGAGGATACACATTTTTATTTATTAATGCCTAAATGAAGATTTTAAGAATTATGTCCAATTACTGTGGGGTTTTTTCCTCCAGAAAACTTTGGAAGCCTTTCACTTCGTTATTTTGCCAAGTGTCTCAACTTCAACCATTTCTTCAGATTTCTTTGATCCTCTGAACTGAAAATTACAGAACAATGACATTTAGTGACCTTTGGTATAGTTAATTTACTCCAATGTTGACTGTGTAAGAAGATGCTTGCTCCCAAATCCAGATTTGTTTGGTGTTACAGAAATGCACTTTCTTCTCTGCATATTTGTTTATTCAGAATAAAAATTCCTTTATTTTTACAGGAGTCTCAGCTGGGGCATCTCTGGAGACTCTGGACTGGTGACTGAAATTGTTTAGAAAAGACTAATTATGTGTGTGAATTGCTGCTATGATGTCCCTGATGTCAAGAAGGACTTATACTGGGAACATAAGAGGAATATATATGGCTTATATTCACTAGCTGGGCTAGTACCCTTGAGAGCAGATTCCCATATTCACATTCCACAGTCCTTGGACTCTTTCTGGTGCCCCTCTAGACCCAGTGTGCAATTCTTATTTTTCTGTGTTATCTTTCAGTTTGAAGTTTGTGAAATGATGGGAAGCTGTCCTGCAGCCTGTGAGAAGGGTATGTTCTGGGATGTGGTAAGGCTGGAGGGCACAGCCAGCTTGGGTGGTTTAGAAGAACACGTCTCGTGGAGTCAAGCGAGATGTGACCTTGGGAGTGCTGCTTGGGCTGCCCCTGCAGCAGGGGGAAGCCACTGCTTTCAGGAGGGCTTGTGGGACAGGGGGAGGCAATGAGGAGGTGTGGGAGCAGCAGCAGGTGCTGAGCTTGCTGCCAGCCTGCCACGGTAACAACGTGCCCCGAGGGATCCTGAACACCTCTCTGCTGCCTGCGCCACCTCGGGGGTGGTAAAGCCCAGGGTCCTGGTTTCACCTGACACAGTTACACACGTATTTCCACTGCAGAATAAATGCAGCACTGTTAAAGAAATACAAGGCTTTTCCTGCATGATTTCCACAAAGTCATAAGTGAAAATCTTGGTCCTATTGAAACAAAACACTAACCTAGTTCTAACAATTCATTGTCCCTGGATTGGACAAGGCATGGCTCGGCACTGTGAAGGTACTAACCACTGCTGCTCTTCTCTTCACAGGCCATTGTGTCACCTTTCAGCCTTACCAGTGGCCTCTTTGGGCTCACTTCAAATCTTTCTCCAACAAATATGGCCATATAAAGTCAGTGAATTGTAACCCCATGTAGCAAACACACTGCATGTTTCTTTCAGTATTTTAATACAAATATATGCTCTAGAAAGGGATTTTCTCCATCATTTTCCTTACCTCTGCTTATGATGAATTTCCCATGAATTTTATTTGCTCTGTGCTTCTACTCTGGACAGGAAATCCTTTTTTCTTAATCTAGTTCTAAATTTTGTGGAACTTGCTACCACTCCATCACTAATGCCAGGATTTTAACTGTAGAAAAAAATGGCTTGGGGGAAAGGGAATTCTGTAAACATCTATTTTTGGAAAATAACAAATGGACCCATACTGAAACCAGTCAGTATTAAAAATTACAAAATAAATTTTGAAAAGGATATGAAGCCTTATGCTGCTTATAGCAACCAACCAACCAAATGTTAACTAATTAAGGGTCAAGGAAATCTTTTTCCTAGCATTTGTTTATTATTCAATAGAAATTATCAGTTTGTCTTAACTAAAACAAAGGTGAAGACCACTCCTGCAACACAGCTTTGATGCAGTGTAACTCCTACAAACACTAACTTCAGAAAAACAGTACTTAGCATATTACTTGTTTAAACAAATCAAGTACATTTGAATGAGAAACTAGCAGCGTTTAAAACAAGAAACTTGAGCAGTGTTTGAAAAACTTGGTGTTAATGACTAGGAGTGTTTAAGAAACACTAATCTTTGCATGAAACTAGTAAGCTCTGTTTTGTTACCATTAGGGAGTAGGAAATACATGTTTGTACAGGAGGGTCATGCTTCAATAGTTTAATCTTTTACTTGGGTTAATTTTTATTCAACATGGTAATGGCATAGTGCAATAACTGTTCGCTGTTCATTTAATTTTTCTCTGTAACTTTCATGGTCAACATTTTATTAGTTTTAGCAGAAGAGATGCTTAAAAACAGTTCTTGCAGATTTATTTTTTTAATCATCTCACATTTTGCTGGTAGGGAGATCCTTTTGCCAAGGAATTAAACTTTGGTAGCAGTCAAAACTGGTCTTACTTAAAAAGGTAAACTGTCTCTGACCTGACAGTGTTTTTCATCTTGACAAGCAGTAAAGTTGAATATAAGCACAACTTCTTTCTGTATTTATGTTTCATAAAGACCAGTTGGCAAAACTTCTTAGTTCTACTGGCTGTGCCAACATCTTGTATTATCTCTACACAATGAAAAACTTCTTGATACGTTGATTATCACTTCTCATCTACATTATGACCCTTAATAAAGTGTATGTCAGGCCACAAACTTCTACTTCTCCAGAAGCCATGAGATGCAAAATTGCTGACCAAACATGCAGTTTAGTTCATGCAGCTTCCACATACTTCTCACTGTCTGATCTGCCGTGTTCCAAAAGCTGTAGTTCTACACAGTGGAACTAACATTCTGTATCAACTGTGTTTAATGTTTCAGATAATTCCATGCAAAATTCACAGTAAATCATAATTTATCATGTTTGTTTTTGCAGAAGTACCTAAAGATAATAGTTGAAATCGTAGGCTCCTTTTATAAGAGATGCCAGAAAGATACATAAATAACTTATTTCTCCAAACAGCTTATTATTTTTAGCATAGAGGGTTGATTAAATACAAGAGAGATTAAAATGTGTGAATTACTCTACATAGAAAACCAAGAGCTCTTATATACAGACTACATACTATTGAAGGCTACCAGAAACACCAAAAATATTTTTATCTGAATTCTAAGAGAATTTTGTATAGATGTGCTCCTAAAAAAAAAAAAGAGGGAGAGAAAGGCCCCAATACCCAATATAGATATCTGAATCTCATCTTCATCCTTCCTTCACAGAAAAGGAAAATGCTTCTCCAGAGAACCATTATATGACATATTCTAGACAATAAAATATTAAAATAAGATCAGCTGCCTAGTGCATGTGCTTTTCCTGTGCCGACTGACCATAAGGGGAGCCTGTGAAGATTAATTCAGGTTTAGATATCTAATTAGTATCTGTCTCAATCTTGGAGATAACCCCAATTTTTATGTATTGTAGGTACACAATTTATTCCTTTATACTGGTGACTAGTGGGTTTGCTCTAGGTCAATTTTGTTATATTGTAGCATTAAAATAAAAGATACATCTATTACAGATGAGGAATGCAGTCTACATCTGTTTGATCTCTCCATTTTATAACTTTGTATTGACTTTGAGGATGGAATGAGCATGTGAGAAATTACAGCGGAGAAGCTGCTAAAATTCATAGAGACTGGAGTAACTGAGACATGCAGTGCTGGCTTTTACAGGCAGTCAGTACTGTGACTTATAATGACCCACCACAACGATTTATTGCGGTACAGCAGAATTTGGACATGACAGGCGAAGTTCAGACCTATTTCAACAGCAGCAAGAGATGTGTTTCCCATAGAACTTAACAGCTGGAGGGGTGGGGAGGGAGGGGAGGAAGGATGGGTGGGCGGATGGGCAGGGGGTAACTGCTTCCTCCACTGTAGTCATGGGGAAGTGAAACAAACTCGTGACACTTGTCACATGGGTCCCATTACTGCCCCACTCGCGACTCATTTTTTCCCCCAAGACTGGGATGGTGGAGCTCCTTTTTCTCTCTGAGACACGCTACAAAAGTTAAAGCAAGCAGGCAAAAGCCCTTTGACTGGCAGCTGGGGAGCTGCTTTCCCCGCAGCGGTGCCAGTGTCAGTGCGGGCGCGCTGCTGCTGCCTCCCGGCGGTGCCGCGCAGCACCTCCGCCGGCACATGCCCAAGGGAAACACCCCTCCTAAAAACACCCCAGTCCTTTTAACCCGGGCGTCATCAGAGGAGGGAGAAGGATTCTTTTCACTAAGGCACCAAGGTTAATTGAACTGCGGTTGAAACGGTCCGAATTCCTGTTCGGGAGCACTGGAACAGGCTGCCCACGGAGGCTGCGGAGTTTTCTCCTCCGTAGCTATTCCAAATGCACCTGGCTGTGTGCTCGTGTCACCTGCTGCAGGTGACCCTGCCTTAGCAGAAGCACTGGATGATGTGCTCTCTGCAAGGTCCCTTCCAAACCTAACAATTCTGTGTTTCTGTGAATTAAAGCAACATTTTTGATACGTGACCCAAACGGAGTTTTCCCACGGCATGCAGGACAATCAAGGCCTGAGGAGACTTTTACAGACACATTTAAGAAACAAAAATTCCTCAGTCAGATGTACCCAACTGTCTACTATCCACAGCAACGAGCCTAAAACGCTCTGGAACACTCAATAGCTACTAGATACAAAGCAAATGGCCAAGTGCCCAAACTTGGAAACAAAGTGGCAGAACAGACTTAACATTGCAAATTTTACGCAACTTGAGTTTTCAATTACAAAGAGCAAGGGCAACAGAAAACAGAAATCCCAAACTAACATTCTAATTTTTTTTTTTTTTTTTTAAATAGACACGGAACAATAATCAAGTGGATGAAATCTGAATTCCAAGCTTTCAAGTGAAGAGAAACAAAGACAGTTGTTTGAGACCTAAGAAACCAGGAAGAGAGCTTCAGATTACGGTGAGAGTAGTATTTTAATTGTGTCATGCCTCAGGTAACCTAGAAAAAGACTTAGTAAAAGAAAACACAATAAGATTAAAAACAGCAACACAATGCAGGGAAAGATTGTTTTAAAACATCAATGTTATGAACTAATAACAAAAGAGCATAGGGTACATGTAGTGAACATGTGCTTTAGACAGTTTTCAGCCACTGGTCAGAAGAGGAAGTACTTTAAAGACAGCAACCAAGCACATCATAGATTTTTAGCTCTCAAAATGCCTGAAAAGCATCCAAAAGTGTTTGGGAAACATTGTTATTTCTACAGTGATTGTGGATGCTTGATCACAAACAGGGTTTGACAGGCAAGAACAGACAAATGTCGTAAATGAAGGTTTGTCTGTAAAGCATGATTTCTTAGCAGCATTAGGCAGCAGCAGTACGCAAAAATATGGGGAAAACATTGGGAGAAAATAAGTTTAAATTAGTCCAAGGATATCTCTTCTTACACTGAAGTCAAATGGTGACAAATTAGGTCTCAGCATTCCAAAAATAAAGGGGACTCAATTTTATGCATTGGAAAATAATAAAACACTACACGAGATGTAAGCTCACTTATACACCAGAGTCCTTACCAGGTACCACAAACTGATGAACGTACCAAAATTTGTTGTACTACAAATTACTACAATCTATTAAAAAAATACTCTTTCTGGCAGAAAAAGCCATGCTAATGTTCATGCGATTGAACTTACAGCGTTAAGCAGCCATCCTTCACAGAGACCCCACGGACATGACTTCGCAACAGATTTATTATGTGAGCAACATACTATTAATAGGGAGCCACAGTAATTTGGCTAATGTTGGCTTGAGCACGGACTCTGATATCTTATAAGCACAACAGAGCAAAGGAGCAAAATGATTTCATGCTCTGCCATGATAAACCATTATCAGCTACCCAGCATTCAGTTAAAAATGCACTGACACTAGTTTTCTGTAAAAATTTCCACAGGTATTTAAAGGCAGTTTTTTTACACACATCCAATCTTGCTTTTTTCACAAATAAAGGATGTTCAAGGGAAAAAAGGTTGTTCAATAGTATCTTTAGAAACTAACAGTTTCTCAGCTTCTCAACTGAGAAGATGAGTGGTACTCAACTTCTAGCAAAATCTGTAGAAAAACACACACTGGCAAAATGACACTAGACTATCAGAAGAAACAAACCCCTTCCTAGGTTATCCAAATTGCTTTGGAACAGAAATGCAATAAAAAAAATATGATGTATATGAGATAATTATTTTCTGATTATTTAGAAGGATCTACTAAGAAGGCTTTATGAAGTTACTGGGATCTCTGCAGTGGCACAATGTTCTGAGCTAGCCCTTCCTATCAGAGGGCTGATGCCTAAAACTGTAGACGGGAACAAAGGTTTTTTTCCTTTTCTTGAAGGAAAAAAGTGCCACATGACAAAATATTACAACAGGAAGTAACATTTATGCACTACAAAATGCTAAAGCAATGAAGTAGAATCAGACCAAGTTTTTTGGTTTAAAGCTTTTTATGTAATAAAGGGTCAATCCTTCCTCCTTGGTACTCTACAAACAATGGTGATTACCTCGCTGATATAAACAACTTCTACTGTGATACAGCTATTCCAACTCATGAACATAGCATCCTCACTGGGTGGTAGGTGGGGTGGGATTAAACAAACAAAAAATCCCCCCATGAACCACGAAAACGCACAGCTCTGATATTTGAGAATGCTGGATGATTTAGGAAGGGCAAGTTGCTGTATCTTGGATGCTAAAAACTAACCAAATTAGCCAGTTTTCCATACACAAATATAGGCTTAAATACAATCACTTGGCTGATGTAGAATTAAACATGGAACCAGGTATCTTGCAAGCGTAACAGAAGAAGGAAAACTATTTGTTTTCACAAATACCTCATGTATTTTTCATAAATACTATTTCATTAAAACTTCAGTATTTAAGCTCACCTACAGTTACTAGATTCCTTGAAGAAAAAAAAGTACTATCCTACTCAAAACCATCAAACCCTAACAGTCCATTTCTAGACTTCCCATTTTGACACAAGACTTGTATGGATTCACTTGACCAGTGATGAGCCTCTGACCTCTTGAATTTAATCAGAGCACTCCAACCCTGTTACATCCTGTTCTAAGACTAGTCCATTTGGTGACCAGGAATGCACAATTGCTTCCACTGACTTCCTGTTTTGTCAGTGCCCTTTCGTTGTTTTTAGTAGAAAATAACAGTGAAATTAAATTAAGCATGTTCTGTTACAGCCAAATGTGACACTTTCTATAACTTTTATTTCCAATCAAAATTAACAGCAAAGTCCTGATGAACAAGAAATTTTTGCTATCGGTCTTTAGGAGGATTAGGATTCTTGCGTCTTCTATGATACCTAAAAGAAAAAAAAAAAGGTTGCAATGAATGCAAGCTGTGGACAGCCTTTATTTTTGTGGTATTTCTGCCCCCAGTGAGTGATCTGAGGTTACACAAGGAAGTGAAATACGAGATACATGAGCACAATCCATCACCACTCTTTAGATGTCACTCTGTTGTTTGTGGAGTTACATAATGCTACTCATTTCTATTGCTACATCTGCTAAAAGCACGCAATAATCCCATCAGTTCTACAGCTGAATAGGCACAAAGGCTGCTGTTTATTCTTAATCCTTTGTGTGAAGTTAATTTTATTACATGGTCAGCCTTCCCTTTGGCTAAAATGATTGCTATAGAACAAAGATATTGAAAGGAGCTGTGCCAGACTTTATGTTAAATAGTGTAATATTTTGCTGAAAAACTAAAAAACAAATTCTTCAGAACAAAAAATGATCCATACTTTCCTCTTAATTATGTTTGTTAAACAAAGCAGATCCTGTCTGATCCTCATTAAAGTGACAGCTACCCTTTGGTCACAAAAGTCCTACCTTTCCATTCCTTATATCTACTCTCAAAGCAAATTAATTAAACAGTTTTCTGTGGACAACAACAAGAAAATTTGCCTGTGTTATGTCTCCATAGCTATAAAATTAGCAGCTATTGAAAGATGGCATACCGTGGAGTGGAAAGGAGTAACACCCACCAGAATGCTGCTTGTTCACATTAGTATACCTGAATGTCCAGAGTTCCTCTTTAAGCTCAGTCATGTATATATACATCTTTCCTCCTCCTCAATTTCTGAATACGAGGCACAACAAAGAGCACTTTTCACCATTCCAAATGAAGAACCTCTACTACTCTCAAATCTGAGAATCATACCATTGAGGTTACTAAGGAATAGGCAATGCATGCTTCCAAGCTGTATTTGCTTATGTCCATTGAGGGTACTTTACATGCTAGATTCTGTCATGGAACTTTAGTAAATGACTCAAAGCAGTAGCTAACTGGATGAATGAAAAATTTCTACACTGTTACATATTTTACCAAAAAAAGTGGCAAAGGCTACCAAAGGAGCAGTGTTTAAAAAACCTCCACATTAAATACAGTCTTCCATTTACCCAACACTGCATTGAAAATTTTATGAAGTAACCCAAATGCTAGAGGTACCTTGTCTGACATTACTCATCCTAGGCTGAATCTGGTCATTAAATGATTCCTGTATGTCACTTTACTTCCAAAAGGAACAAACGAATTAAAAAGAAAATACTTACTGTCCCACAGGATACCAGCGATGTTTTGTTGTGTAAAACATTTTGCTGAGCTCTTCAATTGTAGGACCTCTACTGTTCTTTAGCTCTTTTTCATTCAATCTGGATTTTAAAACTTGATCGAGGTTTTCTTCTTTATTATTCACCGGATCTGGCCGTGGTATGGGCTAGCAAAACAGTAATGTATATCCTGTTTCTGCTTGTTTTATTTAATTGAGAAAGTCAAGAAGACAAGCTACATTAGAGTAATCTGTAATGCTATCCAACAGCTGAAACCAAAAAAATACAGAAAAACACCTGCAACTGCACTGACTCTTTATTATCCCTGCCTTCCCACCCTGAATGAAACCACAGCAGCGTGGAGCAGATGTCTAGACATATCTACTTACCCTAGGGGCTACAGCTGATGACCCTACCCCTAAAACCAGCTTTCTTGTAGTCATTACTGCAGATCTCAATCCTACAATTCACTACCTGAATCATCAGCTTCAGTTCTACTAAGACAAAAGTATCCACACTATTCCCAGTCAGAATTCATAGCAACCATCATCATTGCTAAAAATCTTTTAGTGGACATGTACCTTTGAGAAGAATATCACTTCCTAATTTTTCATGCAACAAGTAAGGCCAAGTTGTTTGTTTTCAATTGGAAACGTAACTCAACACAGCTGCCAGCTGCAGTATTTTACTAGCACATGAGAACTGGAAATTCAAACAAAAAGTGTACACTAGAAAGATTTATCTAGGTGTTAATCCACAGCACTAGATATACTTTCATCAATGTAAAGAACACATTGAAAGTACTACTGGATAGATAAAAACCAGTATTTAAAGTTCTTTGCGGCTTTTACAAACTCGATGCTGAATGGAATTTAAAGTTTGTGTTGAAAAGAGTAGCAGCAGTTCTCCTTTGTATTCTCTTGCCCAGTAGGACATGTGAGCCATAACCTGTGTTCCCATCATCCTCTCTGAGTACCCATGTAGACAGACACTACTTTCTCTGTAGTGCACAAGTGTTCTAGTGCCTTGTTCAATTCTACTAGAGCTACTCTAAGCTGTGATATCTGAGCTCTTCTCACTCTGCAACCTTCGCTCAATTCAACTAAGAGTAAATTCCTCCTCGTGGCAGCAGCTATATTCATCAGTCATTTACTTCACAGATGTGCTGATCACATACTAAAAAGTATTTCAAATTTAAAAAGATGCTCAAGACTCAAACCTGTAAACTACTAAATGCCTTTACAAGAGTAAGAAATAGAAATGTACACACTTGGACGTACTTTTGTATGCTCGTATGGAATCTCAAGTGAAGGGTGGTAGCAGACAATCGTCTTCAAATCGGATGTCACTGCAAGTTCCACTTTGCTATAAAAATAAAAAAATTCATAACTTTCAGAAGTACTGAACAACTGAGAAGCCAAAGTCCCAAAGAAAACTGGATTTGACCCTACATTTATGAAACCTTAATAATCTTCTATAAAATAAGGGTCATAAATATTTGATCCAAACCTCCAATATTTTGTTTCCTCAGTCATCTTCCTTTTTCTTTTTCAATGGAGAAGAAAAAAAGGGCTAAAATAAATTACTAAAATAGCTGGAAATATGGTTTGGAAAAAAAAAGACTGAAATAGTTGCATATAAAACTCTAAACAGATGAGGATAATGATCTCTAGGACAACATGCCTTCACAAGATGCATGGCATCTGTAATGAAGTAACAGCAAACAAAGCTTGGTTTGGGGTTCCATCTTTTCTATTACATAAAAAATGCTGAACAAGAAGTCTTACTGAGAGTTTCATTGTGAGAATATAACTTTTCTCACTTTTCTTCCCCTTCCCATGACACACTAAGCTTCCTAAAACTGTGAATGACATGAATTCAGTGTTTCTCACTATATATCTATCAGCTTTTCCTATTGCTACACAGGTTTCCCATGCAACAGTACAAATATACCTGGACTTTGTCTGAACAAGCATCAGTGGAAATGACTACTCTAAGCTAATTTTGCTCTTCCACAAACAAAACTGCGGGGGAACTGGGGTCATCAACAGTTTATAATGAGTCCTGAATGACTTTTCATTATATTGAAACTGGATTACATTACATTAACTTCACAATCATTACTATCATTAATTTTTACTTTAGCTAAAATCATTACATATATCCCATATTGGCAATAGATGTGTTTGATACTATAATATGATGACTTCACAACAGAGAGTTGCCCTGGAATAAACATTACATGAAAAGGCCACACATCAAAGCACGTTTACATACCAATTGTAGTCTTCAGGGAGAACTGAGAATGTAGATTTAGGGCAAGCATGATACACAGCTCCATCTGCAATAAAAACCCAAGTAAAGAACTCTGATGTAGAAACAAGCAGAGCTGTACCAAATTAAGAATGTTTACATTTTCAATTTTCATTCTTTTTCAAGTCTTAATCAGGGATAATAATCATATTCAGTTTTAGATTAACATAACCCAAACAGTCTAAATAGAAGTTCATTTTAGTACACAGCTTTCTAGCAGTGCAATAAATAAAAAAAAAAAACCAAACCAGTATGCAGGCAGCTACAACCTATACTTACCTTCCTAGCTCTATTGTTTTCCTGAGTAAAATCACTGTATGAACAAAATACCTATAGAATTCAACATTAGGAAATATCTTTTATATATGTAAAGAACATTACCTTATAACTTAGAGGGAAGATCATCATTTCAATCACAGCAATATTTCTTATAAAGATCAAAAGGAGGGGGGCTCTGACTGGATATGTAGAGAAATGTTTTCCTCATGAGGACAGCCAACCAGGGGGATTGAGACCCAGGCAGGTTTGTGAGTTCTCTGTCCTTGGAGATTTCAAAGACTCTGCAAGCCCTGAGCAACCTGATGTGACTGCAGAGCTGACCCTGTTTTGAGCAGGAGCTTGGATCACAGACCACTCAAAGTCCCTTCCCCATGGTTTGACTGCCATTTTTTTAATAGAATAACTTAGGTTGGAGAAGACTTTTAAGATCATAGAGTCCAAACACAAGCCTAATATAAGGTGTTCAATAGCCACTCACACGGGAATCATCCTGTAGGCATTACCTTCCACAACAATGCAGGTATGCACGCCTCAGGTGGGCGTGGGACATGCCTGGAGCTGATTTCCACTGAGAACCCACTTCCTTTATTACCAGAACATGACACAAATCCACATGGAAGTTTCTGTGTCCAGTGAAGCTTTTTCAACAACTATGCTTTTAGAACAGAACTGTGATCACAAGAAACAAGTCTTCGCATGTTCTGAGCTTTCTCTTAAGTCATAAAAAGGCATCAACTTTATCTGGCATTATTTTATTTAGACCATCTTTTAATACAAATAGGATTCTTCATGGATGCTCCTAGCAGAGCAAGAGAGCATTCATTGTGTCAAGACTGCAAAGGCTGAAAAAACCAAGAAGAAACTTTTGTTTGTAGCTATTTTCCTCTCAGAAATATTTTAGATGCAAATTCTTAAAATTCAGAATTACTGTTAGCACTTTCATGCTTCAGTTCTTCTAATGAAACTGTTCTTAGGTATTAAGCAGCCAAGTTTTAGCAAGTTATAAGTATTTCTTCCTAAATTTTTTTTCCCTTCCTTGCCCACCTACCTCTAAAATGTAAAATGTCTATTCTATTTTCTCCATTACTGTCTTTGTACCACTTTTACTATCTTCCCTATGTCTTCCTATTGATGTCTAAAATATGGACAAAAATCTAAGAAATAGTACTGTCTGTTTCTATTTGTTCTCTGTTTATATTAGGTAATGAGAATTTACTACAGCCTTTTCTCACTGCTTTTCTAAGTCTGAAAAAATAAATTTAAATCTTCAATCATAATCAGTGGTAAAAGGGGTAGTATTTACAAGCTAATCTATAAATTTGGGGAGCATCCTATTTGGATCATGAAGGCTTTAAAAGCACAAAAAGAGAAAAAAACAAATAAAGATATCCTTTACTATTAGAATAGAACACAGACTAATAGACTAGATTCTGTTCAAATAGAAAAATCATTTCCATGCTTCCATTACTTTAAACAGCACAGGAAAGAGGCTCTCAAGGAACAAATTTTAATATAGGACCGCCACAATTCCACATCACTACTTACTCTGCAGTGGGACCTGCTTACAGGTTGCTAGTGAACGCATCTGGAAGAGGTGGGACCATGCCGATCTAAGTGACATTGCCATGCTGACAAAGCAGAGAGGAAACCAGTCCTGGACAAGATGGAACTCAAAGAACTCTTTTTCTCTGCAGAACACCCTCTGAAAGAAACCAGTTTCATAACTATTCAGGCTACAAAAGACTAACAATTAAATTTCTTGAAAATCTTAGGGAAAAATAAAATAAAATCTGTGCAACATAATTCTTCATTGTCAATTGTTTAGAAGTCCTTATCACTTAAGATAATGGTACCTGTCTCCTTAATAGTCAAAAGTAGCACAAGACTTTATTTACTGAGAGTCTTTGAAGGTTCAACTTAAAAAAAAAAAAGCTTCCATGCCTGTGTCTTCTCACAGGCTTTTCTGTTGGTACTCACCCACCTAAAATTTGCATCCTTCCTTCTGCACACTCCATAAAATAGCTCATGAAATGTGCTTTTCTTGTTCACAATATAAATATCATCACCCAGTACAAAAATAGAAGTACTTATAAACTCCACTTGCTGTAGTGAAAAACCTCTCTAAATGCAGCTAATTGGTTTCATCCATCTCAAAAGCAATACACCTAAAAACCCAGAAACACCATTTAGAATATCTTAAATATTACCCAAAATTTCGCAGTAGCAGAAAGACATCTTATGTTTTCATTGTCTAGTGAAAAATAATTGCTTTAAATAGAAATTTATAATGAAACCTAGAAAAATGTAAAAGTTTAGGGATATAAAAAAAAAAAATTAGGGATAAAAAAAAAGTAACAAGAACTCTTTAAAAGTACTTCGTATTTTGTGCTTCAAAACATCACCAGAAATGTGCATTTTCCAGTTTCGACATATAATTATTCAGCATTCTTTTTATCTGTGCCAATGCTGCTCAAGTTCGGGTACCACCAACACCCACAGAGCTGCTCACAGCCTGCCCTCAGAAGCTCATTAACAAAAAGGGTGCGAGGAACGCGGCGGATCTCGGTCCAAGGACAGGGGTCAGGCACCAGCCCGTTCCCAGCCCCACCCACTGCGAGGACCGGCTCGAATGGGCACATTCCCGTCCCTGAGACAGGGCACAGGAAACTCCGACGCGTGTGCCAGCAACGCGCGGGAACACCAAACCTGAGGCTTAGAATTAAAGAAGATATTTAGCATTTTAAAAAAAAAAGGTCACTAATCCGTCAAAGCAAGCATTAGAGTACCCGTTATAACAGTCCTGAGCGCTCCGCACAGGGTTCAGCCCCTCCGAAAGCGCGCAGAGCCTCTCCCGGCCTTGCCCCGCGCCAGCCCCGCCGGCGGAAGCGG